GGATTCATGGGCTTGGTTTTGTAAGAATCCTGCTCCTATTGAAATGGGAGAACAACACAAATATTAGGGCAAAACTGCAGAAGGTGTACTTTCATGGTATGGATCCCAGACTCCTCATGCAACTCTGCAGATATACCACCAAAAAGACAGAGAGTCAGATCTGAAGAGATCTTAGCTGTCACATATCAACCCTCATCTGACATGTGAATAAATCCCCCCTATAGCTGGCTGATTTATTATCTTTGGGTGGGTATATGTCAAGGAAATAAAAGATGGGTCTGGCCTACTTTTAGAATAGGATCTAGGAAGTGAGAGGTCACTACATTGAACCTTTTCCTCTGTTCCAAATCAAGATTAATACTATAGTTTCCTTTCAGTCTATCTCTTTGGTGTAGTCTGCCCAAACCCATGGAAAAGTAGTAAAAGCCAAGAGACAGAAAAGGAGGAAGTGTGCACCAGAAGTCTAGGGAAAGCAAGCTGAATCCCAGCTATAGTTCTAGTCATCCACTCCTCAACTGATTTCCTTTCTCTTCCTAACTATGATATAAGTATGCCAATGAGGCAAGTTTCGCTATCTATTATGACTATAATGTCTATATGATATCACCAAAAAATTTCCAACAGTGTTATAGAAGATTGTAAACATTTTACATAAAAGAAAACGTGAGTTTTACCCACCCAAGATCACAGATCTTCACCAAGATCACCAAGATCTTCACACAGATCTAGTACATATCAAAAACACTGGCTTCTAGGTCTCCAGATTTCAAGTGCAATATTCTGGCCCTATACCATAATTTACCAATTTAGAATACATTTCCTAAAATAGGGAGCATGAAGAGCCAGAAAAGTCTGAATTGAAATAACTAAGAAAGTGGAGTTAGTAATTAGAAATCAGTGAACCTTAAATAAAGTACTTAGCAAAAATATCAACTTCTGCTTTAAAAATAGAGAAAGAAGGTTTTATTTGAATATAAAGTCAGTAGCAAACAATTTTACATAAAAATACAGAACTATAACAGAAAATTTTCTTGGTGGGCCACTAACTATCCTAGGGCCACTTTTTGCATACAATGGTTAATTTTACAATATAAGTAAAATTATGTGGCAAATTTCATGAAAACATGACAAAACATAAAAAGGTCTATTGACAAGGATGGAACTATTATGACTACTAAGGATATATTCCAACTGCTTTCACTGCATCTGTATCTATGGAGAAATTACTATACAAACTATTGCAATTATACATTTTTGAAAACTAGTTTTTCATTGGGCATGAAACCAATGAAAAAATTTCAATTCTTCAGAGTAAGAGTCTAGAAAATATTTTACAACAATATGGAAAAGCAACTAAGAATTTTAAGAAGAATTAGAATAAGTTCACAAGGAAAAGGAAAAAAATACTCTTATTAACATTTTCTCTTTACTTATAAATTATATTACGCCTTTTTTCAAAATGGATTTGGATAAGCTAAATCTTGTCTTCATGAAAACAACTAAAATAATCAAGTCTAAATCCTATCTTAACTCTAACCAGCAAAAGAGATATTTTTGAACAATTAAATCTTCCCAATTTTCATGTTCAAAATATTTTTCTCAAAGGAAAAATATAGTCACAAAATCGTTTATGAAAGCAATGTTTTAAAAAGAGATTTAACAAAAAGAGAATGTTTTTATGTAAACACATGTTTTAGAGGCAGGTGGGACCATAGTCAAGTAACTTAAAATGTGCTTAATCCCACCCCCTACTAAATCACTAATATAACATTTAAAGTAAGATCCTCCAGGGAGCAGATTTCCTATTTCATCACTTAAGGTCACAGCCTGCTTCCTAGCTCTCTTCTTTTTACCACTTGTCACACGAGAATGGGAGGCGGGAAGGCAGTTTGTGCAACTGGCCCATATCCAGACTGGGAGCAAATCTGACAATAAATCAAATGGAGAGAGCTGGCAGTATAAACTGCCCAAATTCATTGCTCTCTCATGAAGCTATTCTCATACAAAAAGTTATGTGAAATCACATTGAGTCTAAAGCTAACTTGCATTCTGTCCTTGACACACCCTAAGATACATTTTCTTCCATTTTTAGAAACTCTGAAAGAAATAATATTAGGGAAGGTATTCTGCCCAGCAGCCTTAGTTTATACACTGTTTCATTAGTGCCACTATTTCAACATGGAAATGGACTTAAAACATCTTTAGATAAGAAACTTGGGGTTCTTCTAGCCTTCAAAACAAGCAAAACAGCAATAAGCATCTAATTATTGCTGTAGATCTTTGGTTAAGATTAAAATTCAGAAAAGTGTCTTAAGGGATTGCATAAACTAAGAAAAAAAGGAAAAAAAAAACAAAAAAAGAGAATGCGTGCAAGTCTGAAGAAATGGTTTACCCTATTCTTCCTCTGCTAAACAATTTCATAAGCCACAAACAGGCTCCTGAGAAATCTCTGAGACTGTTAGCTAGTCTGAATTTTTCACAAGGCAGCAAGATTTTTAAGACAGATGACAGGACAGAAGACTACTTGAAAAGTCCTCGAATGCGTGTGCTTTGAGTGTGTCGAAGGTACTTCCACAGCACAGGTGTTTACACCATTTAATGCTGGCAGGCTTTGCCAAGTGAAATGCTTTACACACGTTCTGATAGTTTCATAAAGCTAAACCTGATATGAGGGCCCTAGGAGAAATATGGCTACATGGATATCAACTGCGCAGGTTTTTCTCTGATATGAAAACCACATAACTCACAGTACCAGGAAACTTACTTGTAAGAGAATATTCACCACAGATCTATTCAAAATAAAGCCCATCAGTGGAATGGACAAATAATGATATCCTTGTACCTAGACTACTCTAGAACATAGTAACTTCTAGCCATACAGTATTTGCAGTTTTATTATGGTGTAATTTGACTATATGTGTTCTAAATAGGAAAGACACAAGATTTCAGATTTATATGAGAAAAAGTAAAATATATTCAATACTTTTGCGGAAGTATTATGAATGTTGTAGGATCTATTAGTATAAATGTGAATTGTTATTTTGGATATAATGAGCTAAAGAATACATTAAAATTAAGCTGGGCCAGTAATCCCAGCACTTGGGAGGCTAAGGCAGAAGGATCGCTGTGAGTTCAAGAGCAGCCTGGCTACAAAGTGAGTTCCAGGGCAGTCTCGACTACATAGTAAGACCCTGTCTCAAAAAAAAAAGAAAGAAAGAAAACATTAAAATTATTGTTTCTTTTTACATCTTAACTTATGCCTACCAGAACAATGAAATTTATACATGTGGGTCACATTTTTCTATTGGACAGTGCTGCTCCAGATCAATGACAATCAACCACAAGGAGTATAGGAAAGAGTATGAGCAAATTCTACAAACATGATTTTGAGTCACATCTGTGGGAATCATACTATATGAATTAAAAGCGTATCAAACTAAACCAGTGTCTAATGATATCAATAACACCACCAGGCACAGTATGCATGTCTATAGTCCCAGCACTCTGGGAGAATGAAGCAGGAGAACCAGAAGTTCAAGTCCAGCATACCAAGCTCAATCCCTGGGGGAAGGGAAGGGGAGGGGAAAGGAGGGAGGGGAGGGTGGAAGGGAAGGGAAGGGAAGGGAAGGGAAGGGAAGGGAAGGGAAGGACAAGAAAAGAACAGAACAGAACAGAACAGAACAGGAGAAAGAGAGGAGGGAGGGAGGCAGGGAGAGAGAGACTATTATAGAAAAAAAGTTTGATTCCAGGTTGGCCAACTCAGTAACTTACTGAGGCTCTGTCTCAAATAAAAAGTATAAAAGGGCAAAAGATGTTGCTCAGTGCAGAAGGCCCTGAATTTAATCCCTAGTCCTGCAAAAAGAAAAGAAAACAGAACTGCCAATTTAGTGATTACCATTAAAAATTAGCATGGTCATCAAGGAGAAAAAAAAAGGGCTGTGACTCGGAGGCGGTACAGGGAGCCCTCTCCAGTGCAGAATCTATTCCCTATATTATATGCACTATTCTACAATTTACATCTTAAAATTTTTATTTTTAAATGATCTCAAATACTTATTTTATTTATCAAGTAATGATTCTGAAGAAAAGACTTCAAAGAATAAAGTTGAGTGACATGTCCTATATTTCAAATCAATACAACTAAAGAAATGTAAAATTAGATCCCTGAACTGCTTAGTACAAACTACATTTTTCTTCACCATATTTTAAAATATTTTTTTCAAATGCCCTTTTCATTCTTTTTTTATGTCTATACAGATTAATGGGTTTCATGTTGGCAGATTTATATATGCACTCAACTTATTTTGATCATTTTCACCCTCCATCATCTGACCTTCCCTGTCCAAATGTTTTTAAAGCACAACCTATATTTTGATAGTATTATTTCTCCTATATTAAAAAATGTGGTAGATATATTTCTGAAAAACTACACATATTCTTGAAAGTCAATATATTTGCAATGCACAAAATAAACACTGGATAAATGCATTTACAAATAAATAACATGTTTAATGCATAAAGATGTAAAAGAAACCTTTTTGTGATTCCTTATACAAAACAACTATTTATGTCCTAAATACTCTAAATATACTGTAGTATTTTTCTAATAAAATAACCTGAAGCATCCTCTCAGAAATTTTCCTGCATTGGAAAATAAAGTTTACCAAAAATGTGAAAAAAAAATTCTGAATATGTACAAGTTAGAATACTGAAAAGGGTGAATGACATGACTTAATGTTTTTATAACTAATGCCTAATGTAAAAGTAAATAAGTATAAAGAATCAAGCTTTTTCTGGGCACAAAAGCCTTGTCACACATAGCATAAAATATTTCAAAAAGAAATGTTTTAGGATACAAAACCAAATTTGAAAATCTCTCTCAAGTATCAAAGAACTATGCTGATGACCTATTTCACATTTAATTCAGTTGATGCAAAAAATAACTTATAAATGAAACAGAATCTAGAGGAGAAATTTATAGAACCAATGTCTATACTTACCATGAACTTGGTTGATTTCTGAATTTTGGGAAAGAATTTCATCTGCTAATTTTTGAGCAGTTGGCAAAACTTCTGTGTGGTGCACTGTGATCAAATACTGTACAAACTTTTGTAGTTGGTCTCTATTCATTTGAAAGAGAGTCTCTGAAATGGGAAGATGAAGTTTGACCTGATCTGGCTTGCGGATACGGTATAAAGACAGTGCCACAACATGAGCACAATAAAATATGTCCTTGTTTCCACAGCTGCAGGTCACTGAGGTAATCTTGCAACGATCAAAGCTGATGGCCACATTGCAAACAGTTTCTGGCTCCGATTGTATTGCAGGTTCTGTCACTGTGCCACTCAAGTGGAAACCTATGTGAAAGAAAGGGAGACTTTAGCTTCTGGATTCAGATGCTATGGAATTTAACTCTTACAAATGTATGGTACTGGACAGCAGCAAGAAAAAATATGGTAGATTTTTTAGTTAAAAACCTTTAAGCTATTAACCACCATCCACTCCCCTATAAAGTTATGAAAATAACAGACATAGTGAGGTATTTCACACAGCCAGATGAAAACACTCATTGTAGTACATCACCATCATACCTATAGCAAGTTGTTAGATCACAACACTAATAAGCCAACATTACTCTGAATCTGTAGTATACAAGACAAAAATCTTCTAGGTCAGTGGGATCAAAGGCTTTCTTTCTTTCTTTTTCTTATCTTTTAGAATCAGCCTATTCAGCCTTCTTACAAAAACAAAAGCTCTCTCTTCCTTCCACTTTTATTCTAGGCAGTCTACCAACACTTCAACTCTGAGGGGACATTTTCACAAACTTGGACTAGAGAAAAATGTAAATTCAATAACTTTCTGTAACATCCATAACATATGCCCAAATATAGAAGTATTAATGAGCAGCAACTTCTGGTTGAGCTGCGAAGTTTACCAAATCTCATACTCAACCAAGAGTCCAAGTAACTCATAGTGATTATTTACTTCCATATTGGAAAGCTAGTACTGACAGATAAGTTGCCCCCACCCCAGGCATACAGAGGGAGTACAAAATCACCAAAAGGGAAGAGTCTTAGAGGCCTTACACTTTAAACTTAGAATCACACAGGAATCCTGTATAAGCTCCATGACCAATGGCCATTTGCACGCCGTGAAAGCCACATTCAGAGGCAAAGGATATAAAAATGAAGGTAATGAGCAGGCGATCTTTTTGGCTTCTCACACTAAGATTTACCTCAGAATTTCAAGTGCTTGACAGAAATCCAAATGCTACACAAGAAAGTATTTGGCTCTCTCTCAAACTTCTGCTATTTATGCTATTTCAATAAAATTCATGGAGCTGGCTGGCCACTGTTCCTCTTCATTCAGAAAAGTAAAGCTCTTTACCATGTGGGGTCTCATGGAGAACTAGTACACTGAAGGTGCAGAGACATGGCTTGAGCAACAGCCAGACGACACTAAGAATTCATACATAGGAAATCTGTACCTCCATTTGCCTCCTCAGACAGAGGCTTATCCAAGCCAGTCAGATGAAGAAAAAAAAAAAAAAACTACATGAGAAATCTTTATGAATAATGTAATTTCATGTTGATAATTTATATTCAGCAACACTTAATGGAGGAAAGTATCATGTTTTGCTAAATGAATCCATTCTAAAAAGAGCATTCATAAAAGTTACTATTACTGCTTCACAGTAAAAAAATCTGAGAACTATTGTAGAATAAACTATTTGTTTTTCTGCCACAAACATTATTAACCCTGTTTCAGATATTCCAGATTCATTTATCTCTTGATATCAAGAAGTTTTTCTGAAAAATCACAAAGGATACAAAGAAAATATAATGTTTAAAATTTTAGTATCGATTATCCTATGAGAAAATGTTACAGGAAAAACTAAACACCTGAGAAAATCTCAAGGACAAAGAAAAAAAATAACAGCAGTCTTGCTTTAATCCATATATACCAGAAGCACCATAAACCTACAGTAATCTGAAATCATTTAACAGGCAAAGACTACAGCAACATGTATCAGTGGACCATAAAAGAGAGTCCAGAAAGTTTCCAAGCATTTCTGTACATTTAGTTCAGGGAAAACTGTTTTCTACCTGTCACATACATGCTTGCAGATACCATAATACAAAAAGAGCCACAGACTGACCATTTATAAATCAACCTCTTCCCACTTTGTACCATCGTATCTCTTGCCCATTAAGTTGAAGTCTTTGTGACTCCACAAAATGATTATTGGAGATCTCTTCTAATCACAGGCAAAGCCAAGATAAAGAAAGATAAAAAAGAATAAGCCTCGTTAGTGAAGAGCTGACGGGGGTCACTGGCGGGTGTAGCTCAGTGGCAGCATTCAGCTTTGCATGTGAGGGGTCCTGGATTCAAGGACCACCCAAAAGTAAACATTTTTATTAAAAAAGTCTACAAGAAGATAACCAAAGACATCCTTTAAAAGAGTCTACTTAAATTATGAAAGAAGTAATTCTGAGGAAAACTGATGAAACCCTCAAAATAGTTTTTGTGAAAATTACTTTAGAGTTGTACAGTATAAGTCAGAGAGAGGTATATTACTGAATCCTGATACTGCATCATTATGCTGGGGGAAAACCACATATTATCCATTTTTATTTTGAATATTTACTATTCTTGTATTTTAAAAAGCAAATTATAAAATATTGTGACACATATATATCTTATTATAAAGTAACACTTCCTTAATCTCATATCATCAAAGATGAAGGTGGTTAATGAATGTTCATGTTTCCAAGTAATTCTAGGTTCATCTTTTAAGTACAGTAATCAAGTTCCTTTAAAAATCCCAATTTTTTCGGAGGAAATATTTCTAAATGTTGTGAGCTCTACCTTGCCACCCTACTCTGCTAACCATCGGGTGCTACCAAGTGAGTGGCAGTAGATTTAAAAGAGGGTTCTTTTGGTTATTTTTCTCCACTGTTGGCTATAATAATAACTCTTTTATACCGCCAGCCATGTCTTCTTTTTAAAAAAAAGTATTTAGGGCCGGGGATTTAGCTCAGCTGTTCGGTGGCCTGCCTTGCAAGCGCAAGGACCGGAGTTCAATCCCCAGTACCCGTCCCCCCAAAAGTCTTTGCTCTTAGGACAGCTACATCGTTATTTGATTACCTTCGCAATAGCTATTTAATGTTCAGGCCTGTTGGGTTTGAGGGAGGCTCCTCTCACAAACACATACATAAAGGGTGGCTACTGTATTCTTTCTTAGGACCATGTAGTATTGAGTCTTAAATCAGGACTCCTACCAGACCTTTAGGACTGTATAATGGTGTGTTTTGGCCTCTCCAAGTTGGAAAACCTTTGAAAATGTGCTAATACTGTGAGTCCTAAATCATGTTAAGAGCACACACAACAGGAGCAAGAATATTATTCCCTCATCAATACCCAAAGGGCTATAAGACAACCTCCCCCACCTTAGACCCTCCCACTCCCCAGGTACTTAGATACAGGGTGACCTGAAACAAAACAGTGTTCCCGAGAACTAATCTTGTCTTTCTAGAGTTCTGGCAAACCATAATGAACATATGTTTTAGGATAAGAATTAAGCACACAAAAAGGGGCAAACCTGTGCTTTGTGGTAAAATGTGGAAATTTAACTTTGATTTTCTTTTTTATTATTACATGTATGCAATGCACAATATATTCATCATAGGATACTGGCATATATATATATATATATATAT